CCTAAGGGAAATCGCAGTTTTTGTGTACTTTTGGACTTTCTTCGCGGATCTCTTCGCTTCGTGCTTCCCATCGGCTACATCAGTACTCAATGCCACCTAAAAATCATGAACTTTGTGACAAATTTTCAACATCAAATAAATAAGAATCAATGTTCTAGAGGTTCTAAAAATATTCAGTACATTCAAAAGTGTGGTTCTATGGTTTTACTTTGTTCATAAATCCTACACAAAGACCAAAAAAAAAAGAAATAAAACACGGTACTCACGCTTAATATCGATGATTGCTCTTCAGATGTCTCTGCCAACTTTGTTCCGGAGCAAAAATTCGAAAAAAACGTGCAAATATAGCAAATTTGGTACGAGAAGAAAGCTCAAGAAGCGAATAATCGTTTTGTCTTTGTCACGAAACACACATACTAGCTCCCAGGCTTAAAWGGGCCAATAAAASTACAGGCATACCAGCTTCGGAATGAATGAACTCCGGCCGAGCTCAATTCTCTCCTTAAAAGACTGGGATSTAGTGGACATTGGGTGGCTGATAAAGGGGTATTAATTTCCCAGCGTGTCCATATCTGGTGTATTTTGTCACAGGGAGTCATGAAACTGGATAAACATGTTAAAATTTATAAAGACTGAAATGATCAAGATCTGAATGGGTCTGAGATTATGCGATTCACGTTAGATAGCATGTTTTTGTATAGATGACAAGCAAACAGAAATTTCTTGGTAATTTATAAAMGAAGCGAGTTGAAATCCAAGATTTACATTGTCAGAAGTTGTATTAATTACCTGATGCAATTTGGCCGACATCAATATGGAAGCTGTTAGTGAAGTTTCATCATGAAATATCCACTTCAATATAAATGTCTGGTTCTTTCAATTTTAAATAACACACCAGGACTTTTGTCGTAGGTCGTGCCCAGAACAAATAAACAACTGGAYGAAGCCTTGTTTATAGAACTCTCAGATTTTATTTAAATCAAGTCAATGAAAATTGCGTGGCATACATTTCTAGCTCACTGTTTTAAGGGCGTGTGCAAAAATGTTGATGTTGACACGTCGCACGTTTTTGGTCATAATGTCGGATAAACATCTCCAAAAGCCAGAACTTTCAATGTATTTTCTCCATCTCTCGAGCAAATAAAAACAATTATAAAGTGTAAGACTTTCGACCAAGAATTCGGATTAAGCTTCAATAAAGGTTTTTCTCTTTTTTCTAGAGTTCAATATGTCGGGCCCACTGGTTTAAAACTAGATTTCTTGAAAAACCGGGGACGTGCCCAGAGCGGAAACCTACCTAAATTAAAATCTTATGTAATTCTAAAAAGAATAAAATTGTAATTTCGCCTTTGAAAATTGCGTGGATATCTCAAATCAACGTACAAAGACGTGCGAATCTTAGTAAAAATTTCCACCTTCGAGTAGAATAATTTAATCACTGCTCGTATTTATGCCGAAACAAGACTTAAACTTACCCTAAATTGGACTATTTTTGCACAGTTTCATCTACATACAAAACGTCTTCTTTCATTATTCATGGGAAGAGTAAAACACACGCAAATGAATACAAAAGAGAGGACACCAGCTCTCAACATAGCCTTCGCCATGTTTACTTACATCTTCAAAGTTTCCCGCCAGACACAGGTATACCGCGCGTTATGTATTCTATTTGACTCACACATGCGCAGACAAATGTCCCTGCTGTTGAATAGAAAAGAAGCTAGTACAAGAAAAAACATATAAGACGCTAAGACGTCAGTGGAAACTCCGACAGAAACGAGGTTTTTATTGAGCGGATTTCGTATCACTGTGCAGGAACGGATCGCGATGAGGACACTACACGGCACTTTTACGGAATCTCGCCTGGTATAATGACACTAATTTACGTCATGTTTCTTTTTTGCACATGTTTGCACTACGGAATCCGCTCTAACGACTCTTCGAAGCGAGAGCATATATATTTCACTAGAAGTGCAGAACCAGAGGTGTCCATCACGCTGATAATTCTTTTCACCAGATCAGATTTCCAGGCGATAATCTTTAATACAACCAATCAAAAAACGTGCACATATAACATGACACCTATATTTTGTCCTTGTTGATCCTACCTCCATGCGACAAGAAAACAAAATGTCGATAAAGGGAAAGAAAGGGAAGTTTTAATTACAAAAATGTCATAGTTTTTGCGGATCAGCCATTTCTGAATTTSACGAAAGTATAACTTGCGATATAAGCAATGTTATTGTAGCGAAAGTAGTTCAATAC